ATATATATATATATAGTCATCATCATGATACTTATTCATGTACTTGTGATTGTTAATTTTCGTTGTTTGTTGATACTCCTTAAGCATTATACTATTAATTAAGTTCGCATATATTGGTCTTCACCCCTATGTATTGCTACTCGTGTAGGCCCTTATTTGGTGTTGATTTTTTGTTGATCATTAACATGTTGTACATGTCGTTTGAGATTGTTGTAAGTCTTATGATTGACGTGTTAGAAATTTAGGGTATAAGGACACTTGAAAATCTGAAAATTGTGAATATCACTTTCAAATCGAAATATTTGGGTGGTACTCCCAAATCTTCAATTGGATAAGACTCAAAGAAAACAGAAAGAAAATGAGAGGGTATGTTTTTCGTGAGTACCAGATTAGGACCAAAAAACTGGTTTAAACTGTCACAAGACAGTTTCAAACTGTCACAAACCACCAAAACTGTCTTAAAAACGGGTATTTGAATAAGAGTCAAAACTGGGTCAATTTTAAAAAAAATCAGATTTCTGATGCATTTTTTATATAGCAACATAACACAGCCAGGGGCTCTGCCCCTTGGACCTCGCCCCCAGGGGCGCTGCCCCCTAACCTCCGTTCGTTCAGGGGTTTCACCCCTAAATAATAGTGTGTTTTGATTCTTGAACAAACTTAAACAAGTGTGCACTCCGCACATTCCTTACTTATTTTATATTCATCAATATTGATTTTGGTCAACAAGTCAACCCATTACACTTAAATACAATTAGTGAAACAATTCACCAACAAACCTCCCCCTTTTAAGTGTAATCTTGATTAACTTAAAACAAAACATAACAACAACAAACCGATGTATAAATGATATGCCGTGACGATTGAATTTCACATTAGTATATTATTCATTCCAAATATTTGAATATCATATTGTCACTAAGGATTGAACCATTTCTATTCATAGTGTATACATGAAGATATACACACAACAGTTGACATTCTCATAAGTTCTAACTTGACACTACATTTTACTAGCTTATGTCCAATCCTTCAATAAGCATATCGAAGTCAAGTCCCAACTTCTTGAAGCAGCTAAACTTCATTCTTATATATGTAGTTCTTTTGTTCTTGCACCTGCAAATGCATTTTTTTCAAAGAACTTTTAAGAAATAAAATTTCAACCTCCTTAACTTGCAGTACTGAACACATACCTTGGGATTATGATAATAATGTGTTCCAATATTCAAATATCAAGCTTTCCACATTGAATTCAGCATCTAAGATTGCATTAGATGGGAATTGGGTATCTTAATATAAAAGATTTTAGGTGGACTTTAAACCCATCCCTACAGCAGCCTTGTGCACAAGATTTTTGGCTGACTCTTTGGTTAAATGATCGGTTATGTTCAACTGAGTTCTCACAAACTCCATAGATATCACACCAGTCATGATAAGTTCGCGAATAATGCTATGTCTAACACCTAAATGTCTAGAATTCCCATTATACACTTGACTATAAGCCTTAGCCAAGGTTGCAACACTATCACATCTGATAGAAATGGTAGACATCGGTTTGGACTATAATGGAATTTCATAAATCAAATTCCATAGTCACTCAACTTCTTTACCAGCATCAGGCAATGCAACAAACTCAGATTCTATGGTTGAGTTAGTAATAAAAGTCTGTTTCTTGGATGCCCAAGAAATGACACCTCCTCCAAAAAGAAACACCCAACCACTTGTAGAGGAGTGATCCTCTAAGATGTTAATCCAGCTGGCATCAGAATAACCTTCCAAAACAGAAGGATATCCACTATAAGTTAAACTATAATTCATGGTTCCTTTCAAGTACTTAAATACTCTACTCACAGTTTGCCAATGATGTGTACTAGGATTACTAGTATATCTACTAAGCCTTCCCACAACATATGTTATATCGGGCCTAGTATTAATCATGGCATACATTAGATAACCAATATCCCTTGAGTATTCAAGTTGAGACACCGAAGATCCTTTATTAGGTAGAAGCTTGAGACTACGATCTATAGGAGTGCTAACAGGAGAACAATTCTCAAAGTTATACTTTTTCAATATCTTCTCAATATAATGAGATTGAGAAATTGAAATCCCATTGTTTCCTTGTTTAATTCTTATACCAAGAATTACCTCAGTCTCCCTAGGTCTTTCATTTCAAAACTAGATGATAAGAATTTATTGGTTTTATCAACTTCTTCTAAATCAATACCAAAAATCAAAATATTATCCACATATAGACAAATCATAACTCCTTTACCAGAAGTATCAAATTTGCTATATACACACTTGTCGGCTTGGTTTAATGCAAAACCATTAGACAAGACAACATCATCAGACTTTTGATGCCATTGTTTTGATGCTTGTTTCAAACCATATAATGATTTCTTCAACTTGCACACTTTATGTTCATTTCCAGGCATCGCAAAACCTTCAAGTTGTTTCATGTATATTTCCTCATCCAAGTCACCATTTAAGAATGCAGTTTTCACATCCATTTGGTGAATCACAAGATTATGTATAGTTGCACGCGCTAATAATAATCTAGTAGTTGAAATTATGGAAACATGATAAAGAAATCAATGCCTTCCTTTTATCTAAAGCCTTGGATAACCAATTTGGCTTTATACTTATTAATTGTGCCATCCACCTTCATTTTCCTTTTAAGGATCCATTTTGCAACCAGGAGGTAAATCATAAAATACCCAAGTATTGTTATACATGATAGAATCAATCTCATCCTAAATTGCCTCTTTCCAGATAAGAACATCCCTAGAAGACATAGCTTCATTGAAATTCTTTGGATCCTCCTCAATATTAACACAATATTGATGTTGAGACACAATCTCATCCCTTGTTCCTTCAACTAAATATAGTTGAAAATCAGATCCAAAAGATTTGGCTTTTCTAGCTCTAGTACTCTTTCTAAGTTCAGGAACAGAATTTGTACCACCAGAAACATCTTCAACTTGAGTTGTGTTCTTGTTAAAAGATTGTTGAATCATGTCCCTTGGTCTAGGTATAGATGTAAATCTTTCTTCATCAAAGATATCATCTCTTGACTCTATAACAGTGTTCACATACACAGAGTCATTAGATTCTAAAACATAGAATCTATAAGCTTTAGAATGTTCTGCATATCCAATAAAGTACAATCTATACCTCTTTCACCCAATGTTTTCATTTTGGGTTCAATGAGCCTCACAACTGCTCGACAACCCCAACTTTGAGATAGCTCAAATTTGGTACCTTTTTACACCAAAGTTCATAAAGAGTATCCTTACTCCTTTTGTTTGGAGTTCTATTCAAAATATAACATGCAGTTAACATTGCCTCACCCTAGAAACCTTCACTTAAACCTGAATAGGACAACATAGAATTAACCATTTCTTTTAAAATCATAGTTTCCCTTTAAGCTACACCATTTTGTTGTGGTGTATAAGGAGTCGTGGTTTGATGTATTATTCCAGTTGATTCAAAATAAAC